TTGTGATCAGGGTTGTACGAGCCCCCAATAAAATGATATAAAAAGGGAAACTGAGGGACTACTCCTGAATTCATGGTATGAATCAAGCCTATCGCTAATACCAAAACCAGGCAAACACATCAACAAGAGAAAATCATTCTCTACGAATACCCCTCGAAGAACATGCACATAAAAATTCTCAACAAAATCCTAGCCAACAGAATCTAACAATGTATCAAAAAGATCATACCTCATGACTAAGTAAGCCTCGTATCAGTCTGCAAGGATGGTTCAACATCAGAAAAACACTCGATGTAAAAAAACCCATACGATCATATTTATTGATACAGAAAAGGTATTGGACAAAATCCAACACCTTATGAAAACATTCAGCAAAATAGGGATATAAAGGAAATTCTTCAACATAATTAGCAGCATAAACACAAAACCAACAACCATCGTTCATTGATCTGAATAGAGAAAATCTGAAAGGATTCCTCTGGGAACAGGACCCAGTTTAGATTTGTTCTCGTTTTTTATTATTTTTCCGCTTTCTTTTCAATTGAGTTTGTTTTACTTTGTTATTGTTGTTAGTTTCTTTTCTTATTTTGTTTGTTTCTCTGTACATGAAATCCAGTATAAGTAAATCTATAGAGACAGTAACTGGATTAATGTAATGGCTCCTTGGGGATACAGTAAGGGAGGTAGAGAGGTAATGGGGAGCTAATAACAATGAGTACAAGAAAGTAGAAAATGCTCTAAAATTGATTGTGGTGATCATTATAACGCTCTTCCTAAATGATTGAACTATTTCATTATATAATATATAGAGTATATACTAATAAAACTGTTATAAATAAATAAATACTATGCTGGAAGGCTTAACCAGAGCTGTAACACAATAAAGGAAAATTAAAGCATCCAAATTGGCAATGAAAATGTAAAATCATCTATTTGCAGGTGGTAAGATCGTATACACAGAAAACCACAGAGGCTCAGTAATAAAATTACTGGAACTAATAAAAAGATTCAGGAAATTGGCAGGCTACAAGATTATCATATGGAAATCAGTCAGACGTCATGCTAACAAGAAAATTCTGAAAAATCAGGGAAGCATTTCATTCTGTGTATATAAATAGGGCTGTTATTGAGTCCGACACAACAACATCAAGTATACTACTACATCAGTGCAAGATGTTAGTGAAAGGTAAAACAGTGGGCAGAGTGAAATGGAATATTTGGGAACTGTCTTGATTTTTCTTTAAGTCAAAATCTGATCTAAAATAGAGAAACAATGGACATCCTTTATGCTGCAAAATCATGAAGCTTTCTCTATTACATGGCTGGTGAAGAATATTGAACATCCACAAGCTGTCAAAAGAACAAACAAATCTGTCTCAGAAGAAGAACAGCCAGAATGCTCCTTAGAGATAAGGATGGGGAGACTTTGCCTCACGTCTTTGGACATGTTGTCAGGAGCAACCAATCCTTGCAGAAGGACATCATGCTTAGTAAATTAGAGAGACAGCAAAAACGAGGAAGACCCTGGACAAGATAGATTGACACAATGGCTGAGACAGTGGACTCAAAGGGTAAAGAGCGTTGGTGCATGACTGAACAATGTTTTGTTCTTTGGTATATAGCGTGGCTCTGAATCAGGACCAACAGCAACCATATTAGACAATCCAGACGAGAGCAGTGGTTCTCAACCTTCCTCATGCCGCGACCGTTTAATGCAGTTCCTCATGGTGTGGTGTCCCCCAACCATAGCATTATTTTTGTTGCTACTTCATAACTATAATTTTGCTACTGTTATGAATCAGGGGGCCCCGTGAAAGGGTCATTTGACTCCCCAAAGGGGTCACGACCCACAGGGTGTGAACCACTGGACTAGAGCCTGGTCATCAGGATAAATACATGTATTGGTGAATGTTATTTAGCAATGAAGGGCTCATTCAGGAGAGCATTTTCATAGATATGGTGGGTACTCATGGGATATTCTTACGATGTTCTTGAATAAGGGAAAAAGAAGAGGAGGAAGAGGTCTACAAGAGAAAAGTAAGACAGCCCTTTGCCAACAAGTGGAGTCTGAGTCAATGCCCCCAGGGGCCACAGTAGAATGTTCCATAGGGTTTCCAAAGCAGTAACTTGAGGGAAGCATCTTTCTCCTGCGGAGCAGCTGGTAGATTGGAACCCAGGACTTTTCTGTTAGAGCCCAATGCTTAGCCCACTGACTCTGCTAGTGGCAAGTAGGATAGAGAAAGCAATTTGTCTGCAGCTGTTTCAGGAGCAAGTGAAACAGCTTCATTCGGCTTTTCCGCACTTCTTTTTAAATATCATGGAGAAGCAGGTTTGCATTTAGAGTGAATATCCTCACTGCCACCGAGTCAATTCCAACTCACAGTGACCCGATAGGACAGGGTAGAACTGCCCCAGCGAGGTTCCAAGGCTGTAACTCTACAATACAAGAGCAGAAAGCCTCATCTTTCTCCCCCAGAGTGGCTGGTGATTTTGAACCGCTGACCTTGAGGCCAGCAGCCCTATGTGTCATCCATTACACGGCCAGGGCTCTTAGAGTGAACATAGTACAGAATAACTAGGAAAGTAGAAATAGTCTGCTCAGCACCAAGCTCTGGGCTCAGCAAACCTGTGGCCAGGAAGCTGGTCGTGGCAAAGGGTGTACGCCTTGAGAAAACTGTAACTCCCAGAACTTACTGAGGGCCCAGTAGCCTCGGTTTCCCTCAAGTCGCCTCAGATTCGTGATGACCCCGCGAACAAAGGAATGAAACGTTGCCTGGTCTGGCACCATCTTCCAGATCAGAAGAGGATGCTCTAGTCCATTTTTCCCCGCCCAGTCATCGTGCATTTTTCACACCTTCCACCCGAAGAGGCTCATCTTCCAGCACCATCCCAGACAATAGTCTGGCTAATTTTTCAAATTAGTTTTATTGAGATATAATGAATACATCATACAGTTGGATAGTTCAATCATATTAAGAAATTAAGAAAGGTTGTTCAATCATCATCATAAATAACTGTGGAACATTTTCTTCCCTCTTGCACCCATTGGTGTTGACTTCTCATTTCCCCCACCCTGCCCTTTCGTGCCCCTAGGTAATTGCGGTCGTTATAAAGTCTGGCTCCCCCATCGAGAAAAGCATATGAAACAAGAACAAAGACCAGAAATAAAAAGACAAAAGGCCCGAGCAACAGTGGTCATATAAAACAGTGAAAGGCCTCAACCTGATGAGAAGCAAATGCTATTAAAAATTTTAGGACCAATGGAAAGTGGGTCCAACAGGAGATATACTGGCAAAGTGCTGCATTCCAGTCTAAGTACAATTGCTAAGAACCTCTTTACAATTCTCTTTGTCTCCTACTGGGGCCGTTCACATTCCTAGTCTACGGGCAGTGGGCATTCATGGGGACTTCACTGGCTAATTTTTGGAAGTAGATCTTTACATCTATTTTCCTAGTTTGCCTGGACTCTGGAAGTTCTGCTGAAAGCTGTCCGCCTAGGTGGCCTTGCTGGAAATTGAAGTCCCTGGGCTGGAAATTGAAGTCCCTGGGTCAGAATATATATATGCCGACCAAAGCTGCTTTGAAGTCCCTGGGTCAGAATATATATATGCCGACCAAAGCTGCTTTGAAGTCCCTGGGTCAGAAT